AAACCCATTGGTGTGTTTGACTGTATCCAAACAACAACAACAAAATTACATTTTATAGCGCGTTTCACATCGGGTCGACGTCCCAAGGTGCTGGACAAATAGTTTTGGATCCGAACTCGGGGTCAGGGAGAATGGAGGGCAGGGGAGGGAAGCAGGGAGATCGAAAGCACAGTCAAAGAGGAGGGTCTTGAGATGGGTCTGAAGGTGGCAAGGGAGAGGGCGAGGTAGAGGGACTGTGGGATGGAGTTCCAGAGGGTGGGGGCAGAGTGGCAGAAGGCACGTCCATCAATGGCGGGGAACGTGTAACAGGCCGGAGCCCGCTGAGCGGAGAGAGTGAGCAGGATGGTAGAGGGTCAGGAAGTCGCAGAGGTAGAGAGGAGCAAGACCATGGAGGGCCTTGAAGCTGAGGACCAGGATGTTGAACTGTATCCTCCGTGCAATGGGAAGCCAGTGGAGTCGGGCAAGGATGGGGGTGCTATCACCACACTGAGTTCCACATATGTGAACCACCTTTGAAAAGAATGGAATGGAGAGTGCATTTTTTCCCTGAAGGGATGTACTTTACTTGCCTAATTCCAGAGAGTATCAGGTGCAGGATGGTGAGAGCAAGGTTTAGGGACCCCAGAATGTGCATTTGAGTACCACTGGAGGCTAACTAGCCCACTATTGATGCAGCACGAACCACCTTATTATTTATGGCTTTGATTTACAATGTTAACCAAAGTTAAATGGGAAGAATCCCTGTTCCCAGTGATTGTTATACCCAACCTATTTCTAACCTGCCCTTCCTCTCAAAAGTTCTAGTATGTGTTGTTGCCAACCAACTTCGCTTACACCTCTCCTCCCACTCTCTCTTTGAACCCCTCCAGTCCGGTTTCCGCCCTGCCCACAGTCAGAGACTGTGCTTGTGAGAGTCACAAACAATATCCTCTCTATCTGTGACCAAGGCTCTCTCTGCCTCCTTGTCCTCCTGGAACTCTCCGCCGCATTCGACACAGTCGATCACCCCACCCCATCCTCCTCTACTGCACCTCCGTCATCCACCTCAGTGGGACCGCACTCGCCTGGTTCGAGTCCTACCTCACATACCGCCAGCAGTACATCTGCACAAACGGCTTCACCTCCCGCTCTTACCCGGTTACCTGTGGGGTACCCCAAGGATCCATCCTTGGCCTCCTCCTCTTTCTGATCTACATGCTCCCTCTTCGGCATGTCACCCACAGACATGGGGTATATTTTCACATGTATGCAGACGACACCCAACTCTATTTTTCCACCTCTCTTTGCGACCCCCAGTCCCCTGATGTTCTGTCAGCCTGCCTGTCAGATCTCAGGGGCTGGATGAGCACAAATTTCCTTCAGCTGAATGATGACAAGATGGAAGCCATACTCTTTGGCTCTCATCAACGTGTAAAATCTCACAGCTCTCACCTCCTCCACCTACCCGACCTCCCCCTAAAACTCTCCGAACCTGTAAGCAACCTAGGCGTCAGGTTCGACCCCCAATTATCCTTCCTCCCCCATATCCAGTCCCTTACCAGCACAGCTTTCTTCCACCTCCGACCAATCGCCTGTCTCCGCCAATACCTCGCTCCAAAAGCCACTGAAACCCTGGTCTATGCCTTTGTCACCTCTCGGCTGGACTACTCTAATGCCCCCTCGCCGGTCTCCCATCCACTACCATCCATAAAATTCAAATCATTCAAAAGTCTACCGCCCACATTCTCACCTGTAGGAAACTCCGCTCTCCTATTACCCCAGTCCTTGCCAGACTGCACTGGCTGCCTGTCCCAGAAAGGATTGATTTCAAGATCCTCACCCTTGTATTCAAGTCCCTGCACTCCTCTGCACCCCCCTACCTCTCTGACCTCCTCTCTCCTCAAAACAGTACCAATTGCTTTTGTTCCTCAGGGTCTGGCCTCCTCCTCGTCCCCCGAGTCCTCCGTTCCACCCTCGGCGACCTCGAGGCTCTGGAACTCCCTTCCCCACTCCCTTCACCTTGCCCACTCTCTTCCTATTTTCAGGTCTCTGCTGAAGACCTTTCTTTTTGATTGCACCTTTGGTCACCTTCCTCCCCCTCCCCCTGGCTCGGCCCCGGGATCCGTTACTGTGAAGCGCTCTGAGACGCTGTCCGGCGTGGAGGGCGCTATATAAATCCAAGTTGTTGTTGTTGTTGTTGTTGTTATCCAAGTCCTGCCAACAAGCACGATTGGCTAGTCTGTCATCAGCAGTGCTTTGGAATAGTGCAGCCACATGCAACTCAGAAACCAGACTACCAAAACCATCACAAAAGATCAACTCAATCCTGATTCTGATTTTCCATTGACAGGCATGTCACCTTAGAGCCAACTCAGCCCCAAGGAGGACACACTTGCCTCCCCTCCCCTCCCTTCCCCAGGATTATAGTCACTCATTGGTCATGAGAACAGACAGGACGGATAGAGACCGGGTTTTGGATGGTTTACTGAATGATGGGATTTGTTGAGCCAAATAACATTTCAAAGTTCACAATTTACTTATTGTGTATTATCTGTAGGATCAAATTCCCTGTGGAATGCAATAGTTCCCATGCTGCTGTAACCATGGATACAGCATGTATAGAATATCTTTTGGGTTGAAATTACAGCATAGGAAGAGGTCATATTGTCCTTTGTTTATACTGATAGCAGCTCCTCCACTGGAGCTAACTACCCTCAACCCTTTCCCCTACATTTTTCCCATGTACAACACAAGGTTGAATTATTAGGTTGGGAGAAATTCCTCAATTAATAACAATAATCCTTGCATTTAATGTAGCGCTTTTCACGTCTTCTAGACGTTTCAAAGCGCTTCACAAAATAGACTGTAAAGTGAATTGCCCGTATATTTGTGGGCGAAACGCAGCAGCCAATTGTGCACAGCAATGTCCCACAAACAGTCCTGGATTGAAAATGACCAATTTATTATTGTTTTGTTTTGGGGGTATTATTATTAGGCATGTGGAGTAAGGAAACTTGCCCAAGGTTTCGCCCTGCCTGGAATTGAACCCAGGTGTCTCGCTTGCAAACCGAGTGCTCTAACCACTGAACTGCAGGACAGCTATTATTATAATAATAATAATTAAGTTTTAAACCTGTCTGAAAATTGCTGATATTCCTCAGATGAAAGCTTAAACCATGCTCTTGTCTGCCTGTTCAGGTAGATATTAAAGGTCCCATGGCACTATTCGAAAAGAGAAGGGAGTTTCTACAGGTGTCCTGGCCAACATTAGTGCATCCTTTACATTTGATATAGTACCTTTCATGTCAGGAGAACATCTCAAACACGTCAGGAACAGGAGAAGGCCGTTCAAAGGGCTGAACAACCTCCTCCTGTTCCTATGTTCATAGGATTTTGCTGTAAGGTGTAGTTACTGTGCATTTTCTAGGCAAACAAAGCAGCCAATTTGTACACAGTAATGTTCAACAGGCAACCGTGAAGTGAAGTACAGCACTCACCCACATAAAATTGGTTATTTTTTGGCTGTTCGTGAGAACACTGTTGTGCATGTCAAATTGGCTGCTTTGTTCACCCGGAAATATACAATATCACCATGAACCTCCATCTTCATCCCCAAATCCAAATGCAGGAGACGATGGACTTCCTAATGTCAAAAACAGAGTGGATTCCCTCAACTACCTGTACCTCCGCTACCTCTTCCAGCACAGAACCACAACCCCCATCCTAGACTCCGCTTACCACTCCTTCCACATCTTTAATTCTGCCTCTCCCACATCCCTCTTCTCATTTTTTACATGAAACCTACCACCTTGACCCCATTTTCCCTCCATCACCTCTATTCAAATGCCCTGCTCACCAACTCATCCATCACAAGCTACAGACAATCCTGAACTCTGCAACATATGTCCTTTCCCACACCAGGCTCCGCAAGCCTATCATCCCACTTTTGCTCAAATCCACTGGCTCCCATCTCCTCCCCCCAATCAAATTCTATATTCTTTCCCCACTTTCAAAAGTCTCCACGGGCTCACCTCAGCCAAGCTTTGATTCCCTACAGCCTTGGCCACTACTTCTGCTGAGCAAACATCTGCCTGCTTTATTCACACTCCCCCTCACCAAGCCAATCAGGAACCTGGGCATCTTGTTCAACCCTCAACTGTCCTTTCTCCCCCATATCCGTGCCATGACCTGCTCTGCCTTTCCCCACCTCCTCAACATTGCCCGACTCCACCATTGCCTCACCCCCCAGGTCGCCAAAACCCTCATATATGCATTCGCCACCTCAAGGCTTGACTACGGAAACTCCCTCTTTGTCGGCCTCCCCATCTCTTCCCTCAACAAGCCGCAGCTCATCCAGAACTCTGCAGCTCGTGTTCTCTCCCGCACCAGGTTCGGTGACACTATCACCCCCACCCTCACCCAACTCCACTGGCTCCCCATCCCTCAGAGGATACAGTTCAAAATCCTTGTCTTCACCTTCAAGGCCCTCCACGGCCTTGCCCCCTCCTACATCTCTGACCTGTTGATCCCCTATCAACCTGTCCACTCCCTCCATTCAGCAGACTCTGGCCTGCTCCAGGTCTCCCACCCGATCCGCCCCACTATCGGCGGCCGGGCTTTCAGCCTCACTGCCCCCACTCTTTGGAACTCCATCCCACAATTCCTTTGCCTTGCTCCCTCCCTTGCCTCCTTTAAGCCACGACTCAAGACCCTTCTTTTTGACCGTGCCTTCAGCCACCGTCCTAACTCTCTCTGCCCTCACTCATACCAACCCTACCCCTCCCCACGCTTGGGTCCTGATCCCTGACTGTTCAGCGCCTTGCAACATCCTCCCGACGTGCAAAGCGCTTTACAAATATAATGTTGTTGTTGTTGTCTCCTATCTTTGCTTTCATTCAATTTCATTAACTGAGTCAGTCATATTGCATTCACATCAATCATTTGACAAATTGAAGGTCTGTGCAAATTTAAATATTATTGCAAAGGATTTTTTAATAAATACTAATCTGCTATTTTGTTAGTGTTTCAGCAAAAGACTACAAAGGAAGCCGATGAGAAACTGTATGCTGTGCCCCGAGATGGTAAGAAGCTTGTTACTTTACAAAGCCACACAGTAGCTACTGGAGGTTGATAGGTTTGCTCAGTTGTGTTGCTTGGAGATAGTACAGGGTAGTTCTCCTGCACTATTATGGGCCATGAGATTTGCTCGATTTCCTGCAAAGCGTTAAGCCATTTAGGTTCCTCCCAACATCACGTCCTGCAAAGCAAGACATAACATCGGAGGTGACCCTCAGCTGGCTACAAACGATCGTAGCGCAAAAAGCCAACGGACATGCAGGAAATGAGCAGGAAAACTCCCATCTCTTTAAGTAGTGCCACTACAGTCCACCTGAACAGGATGATAGCATGGCATCTTCAACAGTGTAGCACACTCCTATCCTTGAATTGAAGGTAGCACATGCTTTGTCAAAGCCTGCTGGCTCCCAGCCACTTTGAGCCCAGGGAAGCCTCCGTCTATTGTGTTGCCAACAGGACTGTTACATTATCAACTCCACTTTTTGGCTGATAAACACAGCCTGTCTGACAGACCATGAAAAAGCTGAATTTTACAGACTGCACAAAAGGATTTAACAAATAAAATTTTGGTTACCAATTTTGGGCAAAGGTTAATCACGTCAATAGACCATGGCTCCTCTGTTGTATCTTGCTCTGGAACTAGAAGATAGATGATTAAAAACTCTTAGTACTCGGCAAACAGATGGCTTTGTACCATACAAGCAGATTTGTAATCCTGCAGCAACAAAGAGGTGTCAGATATGCTTCAATAAATTCCCTTTTTAAGCATCAATTCCCAATCATATTTTATCAAACCAATACAATGGCTTGGCACCACATCAATTATGTCATATCTCAGATAGCATAGCTTAACTGTACCAGAATGTTTGCCAAGTGAAGAGATGGTTTATATTGATGCACATTTCAAAATACCTGTTGTATTTATAGACTTGGACACAAGTTATATTTCTGTAATGCCCAGTTCTAACTGAAAACTCAAAGTCATTTATCACAATAATTACATTGGGTTCTATCCTGTTGCTGCCAACTGAAGCAGCCCATATTTCTAACTGACCTCTTTGTGTCAAACCAGCTGCCAGAGGCGAAAGCCCCACGTATGATACATTTGGAAAACTCCAGAGCCCAGCCCAGCAGCAGCTCATCCATTTGCAACAACAAGTCAAGAAGGGCATGCTGAAACTGGATGAAGCTGAGGAAAAATTCAAACAGTGGCAGAGAGAACAAAAGGATCAAGACACCATACAACAGGTCCAGGAGCAAACCATGTTCCTGAGGCTACAAGACTCAATACATTATTTAAAAAAAAACTATTTTTAGAACCCAATCCACACGTTTGCCTCTAAATAATTTAGCGGTCACCTCTTATACCTAGAGAAAACTTGCTGGTACAATTGGCATCAAAACATTATTTGAGGAAGCAATGTAAATGGAGGGATTGCTTCTTGTGAGGTTTTGCACAAAATGGGCTTTTCTTTTTATTGTTTTGTCTTTCCTTTTTGTTCTTTCCACCCAGCTCCTATTACCCTTGCAAGCCAAAGCCCTAACAGGTAGGGTTATCATAGTTGGACAAGCAGTAGGAAGTTTGCCAGACAGTGTTTTCAATGACAAGCTATGCAGTTTTAGCTGATTAAACACCAGCAGAATCCCAACAACCAGTCTGGGGTCCCCAAACCTTGGCTCTTCCCAACCTGCGCCGAATACTCTCCGAAATTAGGTAAATAGGGTGTATCCCTCTGGGGACTGTGCATTTGCATTTGAAAGACAAGGACATTTCCAAATGCGGAGCTCTGCCTGGTTTCCGCTTGTCAGACACCTAGATGACCCCCAAAAATCATTTTTATTATTTACTTAACAACAACAAAATTACATTTGTATAGCACCTTTCATGCCGGGAGGACATTCACCTCAGATATAAGCGCTGCGAGATGCTGCCCCGTATGAAGGGCGCTATACAAGTGCAAGTTGTTGTTACTGTTGTTATTTGCCAACAAGATACACATTCACTGCACTCTAGTAAATTCTGTGAAGAAATTTGCAAAGTCCTCTCAACAGGGAAAGGCACAACATCAAATGCAAAGATTATTATTTTATTTTCATTTTCCTGTTGATTTTTTTTCCAGGAAAGGTTAAAACTGCCTTATTCTATTTGGCTTTTCTTACTTGCTGGGGATAACTCACTGTAATTCACTCACTGATCAAGATAAATAGCTGCCATGCGTAGCTCCATTTCATGTTGACAGGTGCTAAAAAATCTGTGTGAGCCTCACTCTCTAGTTCTCATTCAAGAGAACTTCTAGTTTGTATTTACTTTTTACATTAGAAGAAAGAAGATTGACCTGAGAGCGGTCTTCAAAATTACGAAGGATTTTGATAGGGAGTCAATAGGGAGACATCATTTCTTCTGGTCGGTGAGTCAGTAGCTAGAGGGCACCAAGTTAAGATAGTTAGTAAATGAACAAATGGTCATCTTGATCAGTGAGTGAATTACTTTCTTCACAGGATTACTGGGTGTAAAATGTTTGGAAGAAGTCAGAGCTAATCCATCCTTTAAAATAATAATGTCTTGCATTTGATATAGCACTTTATTACCTATTTGAGATAGGATATACTGCAGCACGCAGTGACCTTGTATTTTGTAAGCAAATATACTTCTCATCCAGTGTAGCCAGAGGGTAATGGAAGTTAGAAAGATTCCATCATTTATCTGTTTTCGTGTTAGAATTTTTTTCATGCACACAGTAGTTAGGATATGGAATGCCTTGTCAGGAGCAGTGGTTGAAGCAGAATCAATATTAGCTTTCAAAATGGAAGTAGATAAATATCTAAAAAGGAGTAAACTCAGGAGTATGGAGAAAGGTAGGAAAAATAGCACTGAAAGGTTTGCTTTTTAAAAGAACCGACAGCAACAACAATAAATTACATTTGTATAGCACCTTTCACATCAGGAGGACGTCCCAAGGGTGCTGGACAGTCAGAGATCCACACCCAAGCTGGTGGTTGGATCAGGAGTGCTGGAGGACGGGAGGGTAGGAGTAGGAGTGTGACCGAAGGCACGGTCGAAGGGGAGGGTCTTGAAGGAGGCAAGGGAGGGGCGAGGCAGAGGGACTGTGGGATTGAGTTCCAGAGGGTAAAGGCAGAGTGGCTGACGGTCCACCCGCCAATGGTGGGGCGGGCAAGGCGGGGTTGTGAAGCATGCCAGAGCCAGGTGAGCGGAGGTTGCGGACAGGTTGGTAGGGGGTTAGGAGGTCAGAGAGGTAGGGGGGAGCAAGACCATGGAGGGCTTTGAAGGTGAGGACCAGGATCTTGAACTATATCCTCTGTGTCATGGGAAGCCAGTGGAGTTGGGTGAGGATGGGGGTGATAGGAATTTGGAGTCTGGTGCGAGAGAGGACATGGGCCGCAGAGTTCTGGATGATCTGCAGCCTATGGAGTGAGGAGTTGGAGAGGCCAACAAGCAGGGAGTTTGTGTAGGCGAGCCTGGACATGATGAATGCATGGATGAGGATCTCAGTGGCCTGCGGTAAGAGACAGTGGCGGAGCCGGGTGATGTTGCAGAGGTGGGGAAAGGCAGAGCGAGTCATGACACAGATGTGGGGGATGCAGGGACAGCTGAGGGTCGAACAGGATGCCGAGGTTCCGTATTGGCTCTGTGAGATGTTGACTGCATCCATGAAGGGTGATGCTGTCAGTACCCAAGGTATGGAGGAACTGACAGGAGCCAAGCAGGAGGGCCTCAGTATTGTTGACATTCAACTGCACAAAGTTAGCTCTCATCCAGGACTTAATGTCCGACAGGCAATCTGTGAGGACAGCAGTGGTCCTGGAGTTGAGGGTGGAGACGGAGGGGTAGAGTTGGGTATCATCTGAATACATGTGGAAGTTGACCCCATATCTATGGATGATGTCACCAAGAGGGAGTATGTAAATGTTGAAAAGGAGGGGACCAAGGACAGAGCCCTGAGGAACGCCACATGTGACAGTGCGGTGACTAGAGGAGAAACCGTTAGTGGAGACAAAGGCAGATTAGCCTTCCATGCTGTTTCTGTGGTCCCCAAACAAATAAGTGCTTAGCGATTTTCTACTGCAATCTCTTACCCATGAATTCTATGTTGATCATGAATCTAATAAATTTTCCTGTCCTCAGTCAGTGCTCACTCCACTAGGTGGCAGGCTCTTCTCATCTTGAAGACGATAACAGCACGTTTCTAATTAATAATAATCCTTGCAATTGCAAAAGTTAGCTTGTGACTTGTTCTTATCTTTCACGTTTGTCTCCTCCCACCCCCTCTCCTGAAGGCATTTGATTCATTTTTCATTCTACTGAGGTACAGGGACAGGTGTTCTTTTGGCAATTACTAATGTGTGGGCCTGTCTGTTGGCTTTTCAGTCAAAGGGCCATTGCAGCCGAACTCAAGTTTGTTCTCAACCAATGTATATACATGTCAATGGCTCTATGGATAGTGATCAAGAGTATGAATGTGTGCTGAGGCCAATATTATAGCCCTGACAATAACTTTCACTGAGGGTGAATGTCCCAAAGTGCTCATAAAGATAATGGGTATCATCAAGCAGGGAGGAATGAGGGGCAATTTTATGGTGTTGACCAAAGGCACTTTCAAAGAGATATATTTTTAAGAGGATTTTGGAGAAAGAGTTCCAGAGAGGAGGGGCAGAGCTGCTGAATGATAGTGGGCTAGAGGGAGTAAGGATCAAGCAGTAGACCAGAGCTGGAAGAGCAGAGGACAGACAAATAGAGATGTCGTTTGAATACTTTGCAGGAATGTACATCCTGCATCTCACCAGTTGAGATAAACCATAATAAAAATATTAACGGAGCATCTTTGTAACCAAGAGCTACTGGTGAAGAGAAACAGAATAAATATTAACCTCTTCTCTTTAACCTCAAGCATTTCTGCACTTTACATACCAAATCAGGCCATTCAGCCTAACTAGTCCATGCTGGTGTTTATACTTCACACAAGCCACCACAGGTATATTGGTATCCCCTTCCTCGCCTCAAACCATACCCCTCCATTCCCTTTTCCTTCATGTGTGTATCAGTGAGTCCCACATTTTTATCACTATCTGTGTAAAGATGTACCCCCTAAACTCTCTAGTGACTCCCTTATGTTTTGCCCCTTTATTATAATAATAATCCTTGCATTTGATATAACATCTTATGGAGTCTTGTGGAATCCTGTAGCTCAGTGGTTAGAGCACTGGTTCGATTCCCAGCAGGGAAAAACCTTGGGCAAGTTTCCTTACTCCACACACCTGATAATAATCCCCCAAGAAAAAAATAATAAATTGGTCACTTCAATCCACGACTGTTTGTGGGACACTGCTTTGCACAATTGGCTGCCACGTTTCACCCACAAATATACAGTCAATTCACTTTACAGTATATTCTGTAAAGCGCTTTGAGACGTCTGGAAGAAATGGAAAGCGCTATATCAAATGGAAGGATTATTTATTATTATCAGGTCATCAGAACAACTCAAAGTGCTTCAAAGGATATGCAACAACAAATTACATTTGGAAAGTTGATTGACTGTGTATTTTGTGGGCGAACGCGGCAGCCAGGAGTGAGTGACCAAGTTTATTTGGGCAATTGTTGGCCAGGACACTGGGAAAAACTCCCTTCTCTTTCTGAATAGTGCCATGGGATCCCTAACTTCCACCTGAACAGGCAAACGGGATTTCAACAATGCATCTCTTCCCAAGCACTGTGTTGGGATATCAGCCCAGACTAAGTTTATAGTCCTAAAGTGAGGCTTGCACCCAAACCTCCCGACTCAGAAGCAAGACTGCTGCAAACTCAGCTTGGCTAATGCATTGTTAGAGATCCGCAGCATAACTCCAGAGTCTGGTCAGGTTACAACAACTGAAATGTGTGAAATGTCAGGGGTGGCAATGAAAAATGAAGATGCTGAAGTTTGGATTTTATATTTCCTTTTTCTTCTTTTAAAGGGAAAGTTGCGTAATCTCCGAGAGAACATTATAAAAGACAGGCACGAGGATGAATTTCTGTACGGTAATACCAAGAACCTTTGAATTCATTGTTTAATCTAGAAATGTGTCAACTACAGCAGTGATCCTTAAAGCAGACTTTTTATTCCTATTTATACAGTTCCTTGAAATACCATTTCATTAAATTACTGTACGTGGCATAGAAGCATCAAGAAGAGTTTTTCAAGTACACAATGTTATCTTCCTGTCCCGTTACTACCAGTACGAGGTTGGAGACATACTGAACTGCGTTCAAAAAAAACACGTCTATTAGTCATTTTAATTCAATTTGGAAGGAACATATTTATTTGTATTAAGCATTACTGTACTCAGTTATCAGCCGATTAAATTCAGGATCCTTTTCCTCATCTTTAATTTTCTCCATGGCTTCGCCCCACCCTACCTCTGTGACCTCCTACAACATTAACAACCTGACCTGCCTCACATCACCCATCCGTCTCACCATTGGTAGCACGTTTTCATCATCCCAGAGTCCCTCACAGTCACCGCTCCCTCTTCCCATTCAAGGCCACCTCATGAAATGAATGACCAATTTTATCTGTGGGATTATTGGCCAGGACATCAGGAGAAACTCCCTTCTCTTTAAGTGACATGGGATATTTAACATACACCTGAACAGGCAGACAAGACCTTGCTTTAACATCTCATCTGAATGATAGCACCCCTGACCCTGGTGTCCTGGCTACCAATCCTCAAAATAAAATTTGGTCATTCATTTTGTGGTTGCTTGTGGGACACCACTGTGTGCAATTGGGTTGCCGCGTTCGCCCACAAATAATAATAATCCTTGCATTTGACAATAACACCTTATCATGTCTTCAAGACACTTCATCATACATAGTCACTCCACTTCACAGTAAATTGTTTTGGCCTTTTAATATGAAAACTGCCATACTGAATGCAAGAAGCATGTGTGGGGTATGTGTGCGTATGGGACCGATAAGCTTTACTCTACTCTTCCTCCCTCAGCGTAGGTTCCCTGACTCTAAGCAGCTCGCTATGCATTTGAGAGGAACCCTGTGGCACAGCACCTCAGTGCAATAACACTGCTCTTAAAGTCATGAGGAGAACGAAATGAGATGCTTTTGCTGCAGATTAGCAAAGAGAGCAGTGAGAAACCAGGGAAGGACTGAGGAACAGGAAACTGCAGCGATGCATGGGGGTCCCCTTCTATTACAGGTGTTGGCCTGGCTCAGTTGGAAGCACTCTTGATTCTGGGTCAAAAGGTTGTGAGTTTAAGTCGCAGGTTGAGACTTGAGCTCGCATTCTCGGCTGATATAGGAGATATAAGGCAACCGATTAGTTTCCAACAGATATGCCCCATTATTAATAATATCCTCTTTTTTTCACAGACAGGATCAAAATTATTCATCTTTCAGATGGTAAGTAGTTATGATATCTTAAAAATTAAGGATCACATTATAGCTACAGATGAGAATGCATTACTTTGGCCCATTTAATCTTAAACTTCCAAAATTGCATGATTAGTAGAGTTCAGATCCCCAGGTGCCACACTCAGGCTTTCCGGTGCTCTGGTCAAGTCACACTTGGAGTACTGTGGACAGTTCTGGTCACCTCAACATAAGGGGGTTGTCCGGGCCTTAGAGGCAGTGCAAAGGAGAACAATAATGATCCCTTGTGTAAGAGGAATGACCTTTGAGAGATGAATAGCCAGTTAGGGCTTTACTGCTTGAAAAGAGATGTTGAGAACCCAAGATATTAAGTGGGATTAAGAAAATAAACCCAGAACAATACTTTCAGATATGCCAAGATAACAGGATAAGAGAATAGTGTTAGGATCGTGAAAGACAATTTTCCTTTCACAACTCTAAAAAAAAACAGAATTTTTTCTTTACCTAGAAGGTAATTAACAACTGGAACAGGTTACCAAAAGGATTGCTGAGGCCAGGACATTGGACTCATTTTTTTAAAAAAAAGGTTGATGCTGTAATGGGAGGCGGACGATAAGGTGGATAAGGAGGGAAGAGATCAAATGGGCTGAAGGAACCTTGTTTATCTGCATCACTCTTGATTATCCACTTTCCATTTTTTCCTTATAACATTAGGATGTTTCTTCAATAGTTTAGTAACCTGACCTTAATATCCTTCCTAGTAACCCTTTCCAATTGATCGCTACACTGTGCTTAAACAGATGTCTGTTCTGGCTCTTACTCGGCTTCAATAACACCAGAATTCTGAGATGAACAAATAATCTGCTAATCCTATCTCAGGTTTGCTTGTGCACACTAAAGCAATAAAAATAGCTTGCACACACCATCTAACCAGCTTTAAGTTACATTGCAATAGAAGTGAAAAATGAACTGCAGCTACATTTTGTCAAGAACCAGGCGACTACCTTTAGTTCTTAAGAATATATTATTAATTAGCTGGAGTGAGTTACAGATCTGACATGCTCCACCTCGCAACATTTGACAAGAAATTAAAAATATTAATATCGCCCTAAGTAATTATAAAAAGGAACTCTCAACTGGTCATCTTGCAGCCTTGGCATATCTTAAAGCATTGTTCTGGGTTTATTTTCTCATTTCCATTTAGCATTTTATACATCTCTTAGTCGCCTCTTTTAAAGGCCTGAGACCTAGATTATCTGGTCATTTCTTATAGCTTGTCCCCATGATATTCAGCATCAATCTCATTGTTCTCATCTAACACCTGGGCAGCTCGGATATGTTGTAGCAATTAGAGCTGTGCTGTGCTGGGTCCTTGAAGACCTTATAGAAATATATGAAGTACTAAATGGATAGCGAAAGTAGATCAGAAACAAGCTGTTCAGGTATCTGAAGCAGTATCTTAATGTCAGCAAGTTTAAGGTTGTGAAGGATCAGTTTCAGATAAACACCCAATCTATATTTATTTTTTTAACACACACATACAGTAGGTAATTAACAACTAGAACAGATTATGTAAGCGTGATTGAGGCCAATATACTGTATGTTTTTAAGTAATAGTAAATGCTAGAATGGGAAGACGATAGGATTCATAGTCTGGAAGCAAGATCTTTGACAACTAAGCCTGTTGTGCAATCATATAAAATGTATTTATTCACTCACTAACAAAATCTATAAGGAATACGTTTTAAAGGCAACACTGCTGTCTATAAGTTCCATTGTTTAATGGTTCTAAACATTGCACAGGGGATCCATATTTGGGCAAAGATACTCTAGAGCATGGCTTGTGGGATCCATATATCATATATCAGAAGCTTCATGGTGCTGAGCGCAGGAGGATCTCATTGGATAGCCTCATGATGGTTTTGTGATTGCTCCTTATGAGAAGTTGAAATGTGTTAGGGACTGGAGGTTCAAAGGTTGAGTAAAATTCTTTCAGTGGTACGCTCTGCTTCCTTTTCAAGGTTGCCACTTATATGGCATTGACAAGAGGTTCAGAATGGTAAAGCAATTGATCACATGGTTGTGAATAGCTGGGCATATCCTACAGTCACCAGCTGTGTTGTTCATCCTCACTGGCTGCTCAACAGTTTCTTTCAGCATCAAGATATTTGATGTCTGTTCCAGGCATTCCTGACAGAACCTCAGCACTTCTGTTCACAGATAATGTTGTTCTGATGGTGGACTCACCTGAGGATCTTATGTTCCACACTCACTATCTTGAACACTAGGCCATGCAATGGGATATGATGGTGGATTCCCCCAAATGCAACATTATGGCTCTGCATGGCTCAAAAGGAGATCTCAAAGGGATTGATTGAAAGTTACAAGGACATAGGTTCCAAATGTTGTTTCATATCAGTATCTAGGGTTGTGATAGACACCAACTTTAACTGTGGAGTCCTGTAGCTCAGTGGTTAGACCACTCTCCTCACAAGCGAGAGACCTGGGTTCAATTCCCGGGCAGGGCAAAATGTTGGGCAATTTCCTAATTCCACATGTCTCTGTTTACCTAGCAGTAAGTAGGAACCTGGATGTTAGTGGATTGGTGGAATGCTTTTCCGGGGGTAATAATGCCTTCAACAAATAATAATAATATGGTCACTCAATCCACGATTGTTTGTGGGAAACTGCTGTGTACAATTAGCTGCCACATTTCACCCACAAGTACAGTCACTTCACAGTATATTCTGTGAAGCACTTTGAGACGTCTTGAAGACATGATAAGGTGCTATCTAATGAAAGTATTATTATTAGACACTGTCCTGAGAATGAGCAAAGAGCACTCTGGTCATTCTCGTCCCTCTTCAAAGACAATGAGGTCCCAATGCAAGTCAAGCTTGTGGTGTATAATATATGTGTACAAACAATTCATCTTAATAGCTATGAGCTCCTGAGCATGCAATGGGGAGGTTTCATTCGACCCATTTGTGAAATTCAGGACCAAACAGAGGCGGATTTGTGGTAAACAGGGGAAATGCCTGCAGGGAGGGAGGGCTCTGACCTACACTGACCTGTTGCTAAGCACCTGGAGGCAGAGTTGGCTTCACAGTGGGAACATCCATTTTCCAAAGCCCCTCACATGGGGATGTGGTTAAAGCAACTGGTTCTGAGTAGACTGGTACATGGCATTGGACTTGAACCTCTGCAGTATCAAGCTGGCTGGCATGTCATAAGCTGTCCTCTACGGGTTCTCCCACCGCGCTGAAGACAGATGTCCCTCAAATAGCTGATGAGGAAACTCGGAGACATGGGACAATAGGTACATTTGTTAATATATTTGCTGTTAAGCCATAATAATAATAATAATAAAGCTTTTGTTGGCTTATTTCTAGTGATTTGCTGGAATTCTAGGCCATTGTTAATGTGCTTTTACTTATAGCAGCAATAATGTTGTGTGGCTAAAATACAATCTTCTCTCTTTGCAGAAATGAATGCGAAACCACAAGATGTGTACAGCATACCATCATCAGCAAGACCATTAACGGTAGAGTTGCAGACTAATGGCCACCTGGGTTCTCTAAAAATCATATTTCCCACTTTCAACAGGTTACCCCATTGTGAATGGGTACCAACTGTCCAACAGCACGCATAGGAATGTGGAGAAACTCTTCACTTTTATATTTTGCAGCACTGTTTTAATGCAAAGAAAAGTACAAGGAATAAAGTCTACTTTGCAGATAGAGAAGTTACAGTAGCATTCAGCCTTTAAAAACTAAAGTGCAAAGAGTTGCTGGGATGTGGAGTGCCCTGACAAGTAAGGGCTAGAAGCAGAGTCCATTGCGGCTTTCAAGAGGGTAGTAGGCACATAAATGAAAGATAACGGCTTGAAGGAGTATGCAGATAAGGTGGAGCAGTGGGACTGAATGAACTGCTTGCTTTGACAACCAATTTAGACTCGATGGATCAAATGGCCTCCTTCTGCACAGCACACTTCTATGAGTTTACTCTTTTAGTTTCTGAGGCAGCAAGTTTTCACTTTATTTTTTTTAATTACTTAACACTAGACATTATTTCACAATTGGCAGCTAAATAAGGTATTTGTAATACACATGAAATCATTTGAAGCAGTTCAAAACAAGTAAACATGGGAAATAAGAATACTTTTCCTTACATTAATATTAAATTATTGTTCAATTCAGCACTTGTATATCTGAGGTTTGATAGTTTAATTAGCAAATCTCAGTCAGACCAATGGTACGAGCCAGTATGTTAGACCAGCAAAGTGAGAGATCAACCATGATTCTCTCTCCTGACCCCTGCTGGGATATATGGTTATGTACAGGTTAAGTGAGGATTCCTAAGTTGTGAAGTCTCCATGATTGCATAAATGGCCTGTCAACACTTACTGTCGTAGAATCACACATGAAGGATAATCACTTGGGATAGGTATCAGAAGGTAAACTTGTAGAATTATACCCAGGAAAAGGCATGGGGTTCAGGAGAGCAGGAAAATCTATATGATATTGTGGCCACTAACCTCCCCAGAATGAGTCTTTTCTCACAAGATTACAAAAATAGTTTGGATGAAGAAGGCCCTTCAGACAACCCGACCTTATCCTTCCAGAATAACACCCACTCACACAATCAAGCTGCTTTTTAAACAAGTCCAGTGTCCTGGCCTCAACCAGTCTTCCTACAACCTGCTCCAGTCATTAATTATCCTCCGAGTAAAGAAACACATCCTGGTATCTGCCTGAATTTACTCTTTAGAACTCAAAATTTTGTTCTATTGTTTTGGTGCATCCTAAAGTATTGATCTGGGTTTACTTTTTCAATCCCATTTAAAATTGTATACACTGCTATGAGTTGGTTTGTTTGATTGTTGCTCAGAGCTCATTCCCCTAACAATGGGAATCATCCTTGTTTGCCCTCCACTGCACTGCCTCTATGGCCTGAATAGCCCTTTTATGTCGAGGTGACCAGAACTGTATCCAGGTCTTGACCAGAGCAGCAAACAGCCTGATGTAGTACAATGCAAATTATAAATTTACATAACACCTTTCACTTTGGAAGGTTACAATCTAATGGTAGTCAGACTCCCACCTACATTTGGGAAGATTCGCAGAGCCTGCAAATATATGGAAGCATTTTCTTCCAAGTTGCTCATTACCTTATATCTCAGAAATACAACACATTTCTTTGATACTAATTCACCTGTTAGATTGTGACCTTTTTGTTTATCACCTGTACGACTGGGACACAGGCAGAGAAATTGATGAAATGATCCAATAAACATGTGTATGCATCAAAAGTAAGTTTGAAGTCACTAGCACAAACCTAACTTTTATTACTAAGATTAAATGCTTTGTGTTTCAGGCTCTTCATCCAAGTCCAGCAGGAGCGACTAAAATGGCAGGACTGTATGCCAGACCACAACCAAAATAAAGGTAACATGTACATTGTTTTTAAAGGCATGGATCTTTATATAACAACAATCCTCTGTACAATCTCTCCCACTACTATTATAATCTGTCCCACTAAATCCAAGTACTTCTGTGTGTATTGTAGATATGTATGTAATACTTACCGTGTATTGGAATTTTTAACAGACAGTTTCACATCCTATATATTAGAAACAGACCAGAGCTTCATTGGTGGTCCAATTGGTAAAGGCACCTGATGAAGCACGAGGCTACAGAAAAAACACAAGTTCCACATTCAAATGTGGGGTTTGCTGATCTAGCAGGATGCTATAATTATCTCCATTTCCCTGCACTAGAGAGAACAAAAAAAAATTGTTTTTCATAGCACACAAAACAATGTAAAAAGGCGGGAGTTTCACCTGGTCAAATCCCATCTCCTGGAGGCCTGGCCACCAAACCAATATTCAAAAAGGTCCATTGAGTTAACCAGCAAAGGGCCATTCTTCATGTTATTTGCCAGTCAACTTCTCCAAGGAAGAGCTTGTAACCCAAAAGTCTAGACATAACACTTAAGTACCATGGGTTGTTAAAATTGGGATCAATTTAACATTTCTAGTGTGAACAATATTGGAGTTCTTTATTCAGCTTAAGTAAGATTAATTACAAGTGATTTTCTTAGATTTTGCAAGTACCCTATTAGTAATAAGAGGTAATATGATGTTTTCGTGGCCAACATATAATTGGCTAGCTTGGTAACTGGACAGGACTTGGTGATTCTCACCGCATCATTAATCTCAAGCAGTCCTGTACCTCCTATTAAATATTTAATTCACCCATTTTGATGCCCAGTTTGTAATGAAACAAAAAGCTTTTTGATTCTGTTACTTTATTATTGTTAAAGTCTGCCTTTCATACCTACAGTATTTAAAGGCATAAAAGTGAAACTGCTTCTCAATGTTGTCTTTGCTTTCTGTAGATTTATGCAGCCTGGATCGTCTTTTCTGCATCCTGAGCAACTACTGAGATATCTGACTTCAGCACACAATACTTTTCAATCTGCACATAGAGCATTCAGAATGTATATTGTTTATAACATTTATTAGAAGGCTATTAGCTGAAGCAGATATTGAGCTACCAGGTTACCTTTGGTAATACATATGGTAAGCAGCTCAAGCAATATCAGTCATTTTTATCAGGAGCAGGCACTATTGGTCCTTACAAAAAACCTAGTCCATTGAGTGATATTTTATAGTATAAGAATGTAAAGACTCACAAACTGGGAAACATCAAGGACAGATTTGTTTTGTTTTAGCTTATCTCCTGATTATCTCTCAGACTGTTATCTCTTTTTTTACTTTCTGTGTAGCACTTTGACAAATATTTTACGACTGAGTTTGCAGTTGCACTTGTCTGTCATGTTATTAAATGTCAGGTCGATTGAAATGCTTAAGAGCCAGATGGATAGATACTTGGTTATGGAGAAAAGGCCAGGAGATGGAATTAAAAGATCTACCAACATCCAATAAATTGACAGAACAGACTTGACAGGTCAAATTGCCCTCTGTTACTATGTTCTTATGTAAAGCTTGTCAATAAAGAACAAGTACAACTCTTGAAGACGTTTCATTTCATAAACTTCAAATCTAGCGCACATTTGCATAAACTAAACTACTGGAACAAGTGGGGGAGAGAGCTTGGTCTGACACACAGAAACCCTTTGCCGTGCTTAAGACTACTGAAACCAGACAGAGTTCCGCATAGAAATTTCCCGTTGTGTAATGAACTGTGCACTCTCTCCCTGCAGGAATTCATCTTCTTTACCTAATCCTGGAAAGTAATAGATGCTGTTTGGCAAAAGCACAAAGTGCTCAACAATTCTGGCTGCGCACCGCGCGCCAGGGCTGAGGGTGAGAGCCAATGGGAGGTGTGGGGAATGGAAAGATGATCAAGCAGCCACATTTTGAGACATTCCTTGAAAGAGGAGAGGAAGAGAGCAAGTTGTAGGGACCTGGGAATGGAGTTCTAGAGATGGCAGGGCGGATAGAGTGGGGAACAAAAACAGAATTTGTTGGGAACACTCAGCAGGTCAGGCAGCATCTATGGAGAAAGGAAAGTGAGTCAACATTTTGGAACCACGACCCTTCGTCAGAGGGAATAGAGGTGTTAATACTACAGAACAAAGGGGGGGTGGGGAGGAAAGATTAAAATCACCTTCCTCCTCCCCCTCTTCTGTGACCATTACTACATCATCTGGGTCCCAGATACACCTTTTCTCTCTTTAGTCTGCCTATTTTGTTGCAATTTTTCTCCCCCCCCCCACCCTTTGTTTTGTATTATTAACACCTCTATTCCCCAGTTTTGTTGCAATCCCCCCGCTTTGTTTTGCATCATTAACATCTCTTTAACCCATCAACCCCTATCCTCTACCCCATTTTCTCCTTTGTCTTCCTTGCTCTGCCTCCCCTTTCTCTGTTAGCCCTTAAAAGCCTCTCTCTCCCAACATGCCCCAGTTCTGATGAAGGGTCATGGACCCGAAACGTTGACTCACTTTCCTTTCCCTATAGATGCTGCCTGACCTGCTGAGTGTTCCCACCGACTTCTGTTTTTGTTTCAGATTTTCCAGCATCTGCAGTATTTTGCGTTTCGATAGAGTGGGGAATTGAAGTGAGCTAGTGTTGCTTGAGTAAAGGGAACGACCGGGTTGGTAAGGATCAAGTAGGTGAGGATAGAGTAGAACAAGATCATGGGAGGATTCAAATACGAGAATGAAAATCTTGAACACTGGGGGCTGGGGAGGAAGTGAAGCCAAAGAAGAATGAGAGTGATAAACTTGCAGAGGCTTGTACAGGAGAGTACACAGGCTGAAGATTTGGATAGTTTGCAGCTTGTGTAGGAAAGAGCTCGGGAGTCTGGTAATCAGTGTGTTGGCGTAGTTGAGCCTGGATTTAATAAAGCTGTGGATGAGCCTTTAAAATTGCCAAACTGGCTAACCTATTACAATAGAATAAAACAGGGAATTCCTCTAGATGTGTAATTGCACTTTAATTCACTGCATTATCATTCACTTAATGTGCGAGCGGGATAATGGTTTGGATTAAAAGCTTTTTGGAGCTTAACAGATAATGGTGGGGTCATTTTAGAGTATTTAATTAGTTGCTAGGAAAATTAGCTCACAGTCCAAGCAATGCTAATTACATGTTACACAGCTCTTGTGTCACACTCCAAGATTACAATTACTATGAAGGTCACCTCACATACTTAACTCTAGAAATTTAAGAACTGTATTGTCAAATATAAATAAAACCTGCAGAAGAATGAGGACACCATTGACAACAAGGGGCAGTATACCAGCGAGGCAGGTGAGGAATTGGATTTATTGTGTGAGGGCCTCGGTCAAGCTGCCTAATGTTATGGGGGAACCAGAAGGTTTGGGAAGTCCTGGTCTCATGGGAAAACAATTTTAACAACTCATCAAAAATCACTATTTTTGGCAACCAAAATGTATTCGACTCCTAGGGCTGTTCAGATACCAAAGTGTTAAATTAAACCAAACAGAGAAACATGGACCATTGGAAATACAGATACAGCTTAAATGACTATTCCTGCTCAATGGTAAAATTATCATCAGTCCAAATAAGCAAACTTTCATATGCTTTTTATTCTACTTGTACATATTGGGAAAAGGCTTGTATGATTTACTCAACACTCCTATACACAAACATTTTACATATATGGACAAGTCATGGTACAATAGTGAGTCAAACAGCAACCACGTAAAAAAAAATTATATATCAGTAAGACATAGCACATAAACAGCAATGTCAGCAGTCATTCATATATACAATTAAAATATCCAATGGATCAGAGGTGAGAAGGAGCTGGGGCAAGGCAGATGTTTGAAATAATAATATTAACATATAATAAATCTTTGCATTTGAGATAGCACATTATCACGTTGGAAGGAAGACTCAAAGTGCTTCACAAGATTTACTGTGAAATGGAGTGACTGCGTATTTGTAGGCAAACATGGAAGCACAATTGCAATGTTCCACAAACAGCTATGAAACAAATGTCCATTTTTTGTTTTAGAGGATTGTTGGCCAGAACACTGGGAGAAACTCCCTTCTATTTTTGAAAAATTGTTGGGGTCTTAATATCCACCTGAACAACGTGAGTTAAAGAGGTAAGCCAGGTTTTCAAACCGGAGAGAGAAGAGATGAGGCAGAAGGATTTCAGGAGAACGTTCCAATGGGCAGGGGCAAAGTGCCTGAATGCCCACTCGTCGTTGACATGAAGACATGAAGCAGGTTACAGCTGGCAGGGGGAGTGAATGAGGGAGAATTCATAGGAGATCGTAGAAACATGCTGGTGCAAAGCCATGGAGTCATTTGAAGATGAGGCTGAGGATCTTCTGACAGACAGGAAGCCTGGTGGGGGTTAGGGGAGAATGGACTGTGAATGGATCTTTACAACAACAACAAAAAAAACCATAAAGCCCACAGGAAAAGGCGCTGACAGTGGTCATGAGAGCAGAAATGGTCAGGGTGAAAGGGAGGAGCAAAAATGGTTTTGGTAGGTAAAAGGATTCGGTGAAATGGGACTTGGGGGGGGAGGTGGAAGGACTGGGGAATTCCAGACCTGTGAAGGTGAACCGAAGGGTGGGGCGGGGGACGTGGAGCAGACCGGAGCCAGAGGAACGGAGGGTACGGGCAGGTAGGTAGGGGGATAGTAGGTTGGAGAGGTAGGAGGGAGCAAGGCCGTGAATGGCCTTGTAGGTGAGGATGAGGATCTTGAAATCAATCCTCTGGGGGATGGGGAGCCAGTGGAGGCGAGCGAGGGTGGGAGTGATGTGGTCGCGAAGCCTGGTGCGGGACAGTACACGAGCTGCAGAGTTCTGAATGACCTGCAGCTTGTGGAGGGAGGTGGCGGGAAGGCCGGCGAGGAGAGAGTTCCCATAGTCCAGCCTTGAGGTGACAAAGGCGTGAACCAGGGTTTCAGCAGCGTGAGGGGTGAGGTAGTGCCGTAATCTGGCGATATTCCGGAGGTGATGGAAGGCGGTGCCAGTTGTGGTGCGGATGTGAGGGAGAAAGGACAGCTCAGGGTCGAACAAAACGCCGAGGTTCCTGACTGGCTTTGAGAGGTGGAGAGTGCAGCCTTGGATGCTGATGGTGTCAGCGCCTGAGGTGCGGAGGCGCTGACGTGAGCCAATCAGGAGGGCCTCGGTTTTTCGCACGTTGAGCTGAAGAAAGTTGTCTCTCGTCCAGGACTCGATGTCGGACAGGCAGGCTGTCAGGACATCGGTGGTCGTGGAGTTGAGAGTAGAGGAGGAAAGGTAGAGTTGGGTGTCATCCGCATACATGTGGAAGTTAACCCCATGTTTGCGGATGATGTCACCAAGGGGGAGCATATAGAGGGTGAAGAGGAGGGGACCGAGGACAGAGCCCTGAGGGACACCACATGAGACAGTACGGGGGGTGGAGGAGAAGCCATTCGTTGAGACGAAGTGAAGACGGTGGGAAAGGTAAGAGCTAAACCATTCAAGGACAGTGCCTTGAAGGTTGAGGTGGGAGGACAAGCGGTGGAGTAGGATAGCGTGGTCGACCGTATCGAATGCTGCCGATAGGTCGAGGAGGACGAGGAGACAGAGGGAGCCCTGGTCACAGATGGTCAGGATATCATTGGTGACCTTGACCAGGGCAGTTTCTGTGCTATGAGCAGCACGGAAACCTGACTGAAGGGGTTCAAAAAGAGAATGGTGAAGGAAAGAGCGCAGTTGGGAAGCGACAACTCTTTCCAAGACCTTGGAGAGAAAGGGGAGGTTGGAGATGGGCCGGTAGCTTGATAGCTGCGACGCATCAAGGGAGGGTTTTTTCAGGGTGGGCGTGATGATGGCAGTTTTTAATGGAATGGGGACAGAGCCAGAGGAGAGGGACAGGTTTATGATGTCAGTGATGTGTGGGGCAAGAAAATGGAGCTGGGAGATAAGGAGTGGAGTGGGGATGAGGTCAAGGGAGCAGGTGGTTGGTTTTAGGGATAGGATGAGTTCAGTGATAGGTGACATTGGTCATACTGTTTATAGTATCTCTCTCAGCAATGCAGGCTAATGGTATGTTCAAGCTTTTCCAGTTTCTTTTTGATATCCTCCTTTCTGCAGGTACCTATCCTGTCCTTCAACAATACCTGGAGATCTTCACACCACTTTGGCATCCAGACAAAACTCTGATTCTGGCTGATCCCATGAAAGATTTTAATGAGGAAATAGACAAGGGTCTCACTGTCACATACCTGACACCTCTGGAGTATCCAATCACACCATCCCTCCCACAAACAATCATTACTGAAGCCTGTGACCAGAAGACTAGAATCGAGCAGGTTCTGGTGGAGCTTTTCAACATCCTCTTCTTCAAGCTTGTTTCCAATTAACCTAAAAAATGGGGTCACAATATCAAATGTCAAGTCAGACTGATGAAAGGAACACAGCAGACCACACATTGCCTTTGTCACATTATATAATCCACTGTTTAAGGCATGCAAAAACACAATGCTAATGCAGTGGAACCTTGTTATAATGTACTTGGTTATAAAGCAGGTTTGCTTAAACATCCCAA